TTCCTCCACACTTTCAATTTCCCATTTCTTGCCAGAGCTCTCTGTTGGAAGAACCCAATGGGAAGCAGAGTGCATAAGAGTATCTTGTTATAGTTTATTCTGGGCAGCCTCCTGGAGCAGATAGCAGGGTGGAGGTGGGTGGACAGATGACCTATAGGGTCAAACAGAAGTAAACTACTCTTACACTTTCTTTTGAAGGACTTGTTCACCTGAAGGCAATATCAATATTGTGAGGTCCTAGAGGGAAGACACTGGCCTTCCCACTTATCTGTGGGATACTGTTTAAGGGATTGTTGAGTGAATGAATGGGGCTGTTTATTTCCTTCCTTTCTCTCTCTCTCTGTTAAGTTTATCCATTTTGAGATAGAGATAGAGATAGAGAGAGAGAGCAACAAGAGCAGGGGAGGGGCAGAGAGAGAAGGAAAGAGTGAGAATCCCAAGCAGGCTCTGCACTATCAGTGTAGAGCCTGATGTGGGGCTCGAACTCATGAACTGTGAGATCATGACCTGAGCCGAAACCAAGAGTCCGATGCTTAACTGACTGAGCCACCCAGGTGTCCCTCTTTCCTTTCTCTTGACTTGCACTTGGGGTGGCCAACAATAGCTGGATGATGCTGTCTTGGTTAGGGTCTTGTGTTCTGAATAGAGAGGCTTCTCATAGTCACAGCTAACTGACTCAAAGAGATTAACACTTCCTGTCTATGTGATTATTTTACTTTTAACAATATCATTAGTAAAACTGTTAAATGAAGGTAGAGTTTACTGCATTAATATCTTGAGTCTTTTTGTATTAACATTGTTTTTACAAGTATCCAGATTTAGCTAGGCAATGCATTCATGAATCTTTAGCTTATCTCAGTGAATATTAAATCTAACCCTGTTATTTCTCCTCTCACCAGTGCCCCACTGGCCCACAGATGGGTAAACTGTTTAATTTGGGAACCCATGTGACTTTTGATTCTTTCCCAGGCTGCTTCAAGAGAAGAACACAAAAAGGAATAAATTAACTTCATTAACTATCTGCAGTAGCTTTAAAAGAAGGTCTCTGGGTAATGCCAGGTTTCTTTTAACTGTCCATAGAGCAGGAGTCAAAATAGAAATGAATTTATTGGCTACAAACTTTGGAAAACTTCCTCATGCAGTCAAATTGTCATCCCTAAAGATTCTCAGACATTAGTATTTTGCAGGAAGGGATAGAGCTAAATGCCACAAGTGACTAGTTTGGAGGTACCTGGGGTTCCTGAAGTACTCAGGTGTAAGAGCAGAAGAGAACACATTGTTAGGGAGAGGAATGAGTCCCTTTTCACTTAGTGCTTTACAATTATTGTCTAAGGGTTCTCAGGGTGTGCATGCGTGCGTGCATGTGCGTGTGTGTGTGTGTGGTGTGGGGAGATAGAAGAAGTGGGGGAGCCTCAGAATCCCTTAGACATCCATGAAAAAGATGACTTTATCCTTTGCTAAATAGAATTGGGTCCTCAAATTCCATATGATCGTTCTTTGAAATTCTGATGGGTTTCTTTCCATACACTTTTGTTAATGAGTTTTTGACAGATCCTTCTTATTCTCATGAAATATATTGATATTTTATGCATTTCAAATCTGAATGGATTGTTGATTTAATTCTCTGCAAGGATCATAACTCTTGGAGGACTTTTTTATAGTTCTGCTTCCCGGGTCCCCAAGGACAGAAAAGGCATGGCTGGCTCACATGAACCCCTCACATCACCCAGAGTCACAGGCATTCTCTGCTCCCATTAAACCCCCTGCTGTTAAGGTCCCTCCATTAATGGGTTTCTGAGTTTGGGTCATGCCATCTCTGGCTAAGGCTATGGACCTACAGAAGCATGCAATTTTTTTCCTTAATCAGGATTTGAGATTTAAAAATAACTTTTGTTTCTCGTTTCTTCACATGTCATAACCATTTTGGATTTGACCTTTTTGCTTTTTGTATGGGGGTGAAGGACTAGAGCCACTGGAAAAGCTGCCTGTAGGCCTGCAGTTGGAGTTTCCACTACAGGCAGGTTTTGTCTGGCAGGCAGGCAGGCAGCGCCCTTCACTCTACCCCTTCTCCTGCCACCATTAGACTGAACGGCTTCAAATGGAGCACACACTCTCCTGTTTGCCTCAGGCCACATTACTCCCTATTGCTGAATTCATTCTAGGCACATCCAGAAACTTTTATGTTCTCTCTTTTCCCAAACATTTTTTTAAAAACCTTTATTTATTTATTTTTGAGAGAGAGAGAGAGAGAGAGAGAGAGAGAGAATGAGCAGAGGAGGGGACAGAGAAAGAGGAGGGTAGAGAATCCCAAGCAGGCTCTGTGCTGATACCAGAGAGACTGATGCAGGGCTCGAACTCACGAACCATGAGATCATGACCTGAGTTGAAGTTGGAAGCTTAACTGACTGAGCCACCAAGGCACTCCATCTTTCCTAAACACTTTAAAAAAATAGTTCTGTGTTCCATAATAATTATACCTGTCTTTACTTTTGACTTGGGATTGAGCTACTTGTGTAAATCAAATGATTCCTTATTCGTCCTGTACAAATAACAAAATTAACAATTGTATAGTTCTTTAGAGCTTACGAGGCATTTTTATTTAATTTATTGGATCATCACAATAATCCCATGGCTAGAGAGGTGGGTATTTTTCTCCATATTATGGATGGGAGGTTATATAGCATAGTGATTAAGAGTACAGGCTTTGGAGTTAGACAATTTGAGTTTGAATTTCACCTTTTGTAATTACTAGCATAGTCTCAGCTAATAAATGTACACAGTTTCCTCAACTGTAGAATGGGTATATACTATCTATCTTATAGGGTCATTATAAGAAGTAAATAATTAATTCATACAAAGTAATTAGAACCATGCCTGGCATATAGCAAGTGCTCAATAAATGTTAACTGCTAAAAATATTATTGTTATTATTAATAGCATATGAAAAAATGAAAACTTGAAAAAGTTGTGAAATCTAAAGTCACAACAGCTAGTTGGCAGGAGCGTTGGGGCTTTAATCAAGATTGAGAAATGTCTGGTACTGGCTTCTTTCCTCCGTATTTACTACTGATTTCCTCATGTGTTCTGAGGGGACTATAAGGTGAATCATTTTTTCTTTCATCTTTCAGCTTCCTTATCTTCATTTTTTTTTGTTTACTCACCTTTAGAACTCTTGGGCATCATCTGTCCAGTCATGGGATCCATCTGTCAGAATTCAGCAAGGTGTAGGGATGTCCACATCCCTGCAGGTGGATTCTCCTTGACACAGAGCTGCTGGGGATGTCTGGGGTCCCTCTGAATTCTGTCCAGATAGATAGCCTGGAAAAATTAACATCCTACTTAAAGTAAAAGTATCCTATTGTTGCCACACAGCAAATATTTTAGAAAACAATCAATAAGCATATATTTCGCCATGCTTCAGTTTCTTTCTTCTTAAGAGCAAGAATACTTAAATTTAGTGATCTCATTTGTCATTCACATCCCTTTGAGGTAGTGAAAAATAGGTTAAATTATCTCCAGGGGGGTGGGGCCAGGAGAAGGGTAATGAAGTCCAGTGTGAAAAGAACACAGGCTATGAAGTCAGGCAGATGAGGTTCAAATGGCTGTTTCATTTTCTGCTATGTCTCCAAGTCCCATTTTCCTCATCTATGAGGAGGATAAGCAGAGGACTGTGTGGAGGCTTAAAGGAGATACTGTTCACCAAAGAGATAATGCCAGGTACTTAGCAGGTAAATATGGCTGTTATTGGGGAGGTGACTTTTCACACTGGCTAAGGGTCACAGTGGGGAGCTCAGAGAAAGGGGATGCCATAGTGGGAATAATATTTGAGGAAGACTATGATGGAGGAAGATTTAAGTGGTCAGCCCAGTGACTTGACCATATTAGGTAATCGGCAAGCTGGGTATTGACTGGAAATAGGATTTATATGAGAGAAGACAGGAAGTAATACCAGTTTGCACAAATGTGTGAGATGGTCATGGAGACAAATCTAATTGGAAAAGAGTGGTAGACCATATGATTTCATATGCAAATTGGTTGCACATTTTAGAAGGCTTTGAAATGCCAGATTGAGGAGCTTGAACTTATTTCATTAAGGAAATAATGAACTTATTTCATTATTTCAATAGGAAGCCATTGAACATTCTTAAACACATATTTTGACATACTCAATTTTGGTTAGAACTGTGTTTGTGTATTGGGCCTCTTCATCATGATTGGAGGAAGATGTGTCTGGTTAGACGATGCTAGTTCTGATTTTTACATTTAATGGAAATGCCACAGAGACAGAATTTCTTTTGGACTGGAAGATAAAGTTGGATGCCACCACTTTGGCTGTGAGGAGACTAGACCTGTCCACTGTGGGGGAGACAAAGGAAGACGAAGGGAGAAATGAATGAGTACCCATATGAGATTTTTGGTGATACTAGTCTAGAGAGGGATGAAGCAAATAGAAACATGGAAGAAACTGCTTTCCCTATTTGTTTTTTTTTTATAAGAGATACTGGGTGTTTTTAAAGTTTATTTATTTATTTTGAGAGAGACAGTATGTGCACGCACACTGGGGGGAGGGGCAGAGAGAGAGAGAGAGAGAGAGAGAGAATGAAAATCCCAAGCAGGCTCTGTGCCGAGAGCAGTTCAGTGCAGGGCTTGAACTCACAAACTGTGAAATCATGACCTGAGCTGAAATCAAGAGTCAGACGCTCAACTGACTGAGCCACCCAGGTGCCTTTGTGGAATCTCTTATGGATAGCAAATACATGGCATGCACAGTCTATTTCTAATTCGATCCCACTGCAAATGTTAATTGATCTTGGTATGTTTTCCTATTGAGCTCAATGGTAGTCTTAGAGTCCTTGTTAACACAATGTTTCAGGCAGCTTTTATCAATTTATCAGAGTTAGCACTGGAATTCAAACCTATCTGTCATGTCTTGAGTAAGAAATGAATGAGCAATAAATTATGGCTATACTCACAGTACAAATCAATTCTTACTTTTCCAGGTGGAACTTGCAGAAATCTGTGCCAAGAGCGAGCGTTATATTGGCACTGAAGGAGGAGGGATGGACCAGTCCATATCATTTCTTGCAGAAGAAGGAACTGTAGGTGACATTAAGCTATTTGGAAATATCAACTAGGCAAAGTTCCAATGGAGAGGAAGGCCCTGAGATCTTCCACATCCTTGGTTCTGGGCCACCAATTCTATCAGGTTCTGTTGTAAATGGTATTTCTCAATTGCTTTGTAATTCAAGGCTGCTATCAGTTCACCTATTATGTTTCATGTTGATCACCTCTTTCTTAGGCTTCCAGAACCATACTTCAAGTCTGTTTTTCTCTTGTGTCTACTTTTTCCCCCTTCTATTTCTTTTCATTGTTAAATGAGATTTCTCAACTCCTTGGTTGTTGAGACCTCCTTTCCTGCTCTCGTCCCGAATCACTTCATCTCATGGCATTTTCATAATCTCTTGTTGGTTTTAAACCCAAATGTTAACTTCTCTTACCACATATATTCACAACCCCTCTTTTTATAATTTACACTTTGGTATCATTTTTCTCTGTCAACATTTTTGGGGCTTCAGTGGCGGGGAAAAGAATGTTGATGGTAAGCCAGAGATGAATTCCTTAGCTGCATACTACTTCCCCTTGGCTATGAACTCCCTTAGGCAGAGTAGAGGTTTTGGTTGTTGCCCATAAACCCATTTCCAAAGTAGAAGCAGACATTTCTTTAAAACCTTTTCTTAGTTTTTCAGCAGATTCCTACAGGCTTGGCTATTTTCCAAGAATACCTGTATTTCTTCTTATTAAGAATATTTATTATTGATTTCTCTAAGCCAAAGACATGAAGCATGAGAAAATGTGGTTTAATGTTGATAACATACTCTGGGTGTTTGGGATGAGACCTGACAAGCATAGATGGTGGCAAGAGTCCTGATGTTAATGTAAGTTAGCTATAGAGTCTGAACAAAGTCCAGTGTCTTTGAGCTTACAAAACACTTCATGACCTGGCCCTTGCTTTACCTCTCCAGCCTACCCTGTCACCAATCTTCAACCCTCCAACTTTGAGCTCCAGCCAAATTTCAATACACAAAGCCCTATTAACACCTCATGTTTTTTGCCTCTGAACTTGCATATGCTCTTCCCTCTCTTTGATATCCCATTTGGGTCAAGAAATCCTCTGTCTGCCCTAGTTTTGCTCATCCTTTAAGACTCAGTTTAGATTTCCCTTTTTTCAAAGGAGCCTACACTAGATGATCAGATGCTTCAACTATGTGTCTATAAAGCTCCCTGCACTTTGCTACCACTGTAACACAACCTAGAAATGTATTCGTCTACTTGATTGTCTTTCCTGCTAGATTGTGAGCTCTTATGAAAGCAGGGACAATGTCTGTCTTGTTCACTGTTGTATCTCCAGTGCCTCATACAGTGCCTGGAAGTCAATAAATAATATTTGAATCGAATGAGTGCATTTTTAGGAAAAATGTTTGCTAAGGTAAATAAATACATAAATTATTTAACATTTTCTGAATTCTAATACATTATATCTCACCTGTCATTTTTCTTCCAATAGGCCAAGTTGATAGAATTTAGTCCTCTGAGGGCAACTGATGTGAAACTCCCAAGTGGAGCAGTGTTTGTGATTGCCAACAGTTGTGTGGAAATGAATAAGGCAGCGACTTCACACTTCAATATCAGAGTGATGGAGTGTCGGCTGGCTGCAAAGGTATGAACTTGGCACACTAGTGAAACCTGGAGTAGGCTTTCCCTTGTCCTTTTTCTCCTTTTTCCCTGCTACTTTATCTCTTTCCCTAAAGTTTAGGGCAACATTCTTAGTGCAGCAATATTTTAAATGATAATCTTTGGGTAGAGAGCAATCTGATTCCAAACTCAGGAGATAAATAAACCTATAGGTGTGCCCTGCAACCTCTAGGCATTTGGAAGCTATGTGAACTTCACAGTTGAGTCTTCTAGGGTGGCATGGGGAGAAGAGGAGAATTTATATCTGTGAAGCACAGGCCGTGGATTAGGTATGGGTGGAGAAAGGTAGTTGGAGGTGACTGATGGGAAGTGACCATAAATGATCTTGTTTCCTCAACAAATGTGATGGTAACCCCAACACCTGCTGCTGTCAGATGCACCATTTTTGTAGCAGCAGGCCATCACTGGTCACTCTAAAAAAACAGACTCGCTGTAATGCTCCTGTGCCCAAAAGACTTTTACATGTCTGCAAAGGAAACACAAACCAGCAGGGAGTTTTGGGAGTTCTCTGTTCCATAGTTTAGAAGAATCTTGCCAGTCAAGCCTTAAATCTACTTAGGAAGTATTTATTGAATACCTGTTGTATGCCTAGGAGCATGAAGATACACAGAGAGATATAAGACATAAGAATAGAGAGAGTAGAGTGGAGAGTTAAAATTAGAGGGATGTGAAATTAGAGTTAAAATTAGAGGAAATGGTTAGTATGTGATCAGGTATGGTATGTAAGCAGGTGCTCCAAAAATGACGCAGAAATGAAATGTTATGGAGGATCCAGAAAGGTACATGGTATGACCAGAAATGTGGAGAGAATTAAAGCCTGGAGCTGGGGAGTGGGTTCTGGCTTAGGAGGTGCACTGTGCTTTCTCCTAGTTAGAATGAGGGCTTAGAAATTTAAGTCTGATCAGATAATTCCCCTGCTTAACACTTTCAAAATTTTTATTTCATTGGAATAAAGTAAAAAGTCCTGGAGAGCCTTGCAAGATCTGATGCCTGTGCACTTCATCCTCTTCCTGTCTTCGCATCCCCCACTCCCATTACACTCCGGTTATAACGCTCCTTCCCACCCCAGGGACTTTGCACATGCCCAGAATGCTCTTCCCCTTGCCTTCTTTGAAGTCTCAGCCTAAATGTCCCCCAGGGAAGCTTTCCTTGACTTTCTTACTCCCAGACTAAGGTTAAGTCTCCCTTCAAATTTCATTGTACGTACACTTCTCAGTTATGGAATTTATCACCATTGTTTAATGTCTGTCTCCTCCTTTTTTTTTTTTTTAATGTTTATTTATTTATGAGACAGAGAGAGACAGAGCATGAACGGGGGAGGGTCAGAGAGAGGGAGACACAGAATATGAAGCAGGCTCCAGGCTCTGAGCTGTCAGCACAGAGCCCGATGCGGGGCTCAAACTCACAGACTGCGAGATCATGACCTGAGCCGAAGCCGGACGCCTAACTGACTGAGCCACCCAGGCGCCCCTGTCTCCTCCTTTTGATACAATTTTATCGGGAGCCAGGACTGCATCCATCTTGCTAACTCTTGTATCTCTCTAATGCCTGGAATTGTGCTTAGGCCAAAATAGGCACAGGATAAACATTTGCCGAATAAATGAATAACTCCCTGTGTTACCTGCCCTGTCATATGTATTTTGCTCAATTTCACAATATTTTACCAGTGCATATTGGACGAGCTACTGTGGAGAAAGTACCTTACAGCTACTGTGTAAGGTACAGTTATTCCTGTGACTGACTTGCCACTTCACCCTCCTCCCACCACCTGAAGTTGTGAAGTTAGGGGGAGTTGAGATACGATGAGCCAGAAAAATAAAAGGTGCTTTTTTTCTGGAACATTTTGGCATTAATATTTTTTTAAAAATCATGGTTTAAATGTTTTAAATTTGGAATTTACTCATTCAGATAATTTCTAAAATTTGTGTAAAAGCAATGCTTTAATATCAAACTTCACAGTATCTGATCCGTGCATATATGAGAAGTAGTGCAGTAAACTTTTCAATATCAAAGCGTCAATGACAGTGAAGTTTTTTTTTTCCTTTAGGACAACAAGCTTCCTCTTTCAGGAGGTGGAAGAAATTCGTATCTTATTTATTTGAGGGTTTATTCTTGCTGACTTTACTTTGAGATTGATGAGTAAGTGTAGTCTTCCTGAGGAGACTTCATGCACACACAACTTTGTTTTCAAAGTTTCATCATGAAATGAGGTGTCCTCTACGAGATCTACAGCTACAACGAGTATGAGATGTGAAATGGGTTCCTGTTGTGACTCCTCCCTTCCCAAGATGCAAGGGGAGAGAGGAGCGCAGGTGTGGGGCTGAGTCTCTAGTGGAAGTTGTCAGAATGGGGAAATGTCTGAGAGTTAACTGGAAAAAAAGCCATCTCTCTTGGAAGCAGTAGTGGCTGAAAAACCTTACTCCACTGCAAAACCTCTTGTTCTTGAGGATATCTTCTGAGTTGATAGGTCCACATGCGTCTTAGAGGTACTCTGGTCAGTGAAACTGGCATCTGAATTTTGCTTTTTGCCCCCTACTCCTCCCAATTGGTATATACTCTGAATTTGTCTCTCTTTTAAAATATGGAAGAAAGACAAGCGAAAGACTTTATCAAGATGAAAAATGTTTCCTGAATCATGTTGCTGCAGATCAGTAGAATCTGAGATTCTGTACAAAAGGGAAGTAAAGATAAAACTGCTAATATGATCTTGATGTTAAGAATACACTTTTGCCTGGGAATCTAGGCTGAGATTTTACTAAGCACATTTTCCTTCTAATATGGTTCCATTCTCTTATTCACATGTGGGTGAATATAATATTTGTTTGGAAATGGCCTCATTAGATTAGGAAAGAAACCTCCCACGTGAAAAGGTAAAGAAAGTTGTCTTAATTTGGATAAACTTTCTGTTTTCAGACGGTAGAAGTGTCTGAATGACTAATGACTAATCAGAATAGCTTCAAAAATGAGACTGATCAGACAGAGCTCTCTGCAGCAAACCTGTGATGAATGACACTCATTTTCCCACTGCTCCCAGCTCTCCAAGCTCCTCTTCGGAAAATGAGTGCCTTTTGTGTCTGCTTAACACGGGGAAGTACACTGAACCAACAGAGATGGTTTTTCTTTGTTTGGCTTTAACATCGATAGTTTCTTCTATCCTCAAGTCTCCTTTCTGTCTCTCTTTCTCTTTCTCCCTCCCCCTCTCCTTACTAGCTCCTCTAGTAGCTTCCAAAAACTAAATGATGCAGATTCACTGAAAGTCAGAGTCTGGTAGAGCCATTTGAACTAAAATTAAAAACATTTCAAAGCAAACTCAGTAGAGATTTATAATTACTACTTGCGTAAGGGATACTTTTAAGTGAAGCACATTTTTATGTTCTTAAATTAACAAAGTGGCCAGAAATCTTTCATGAGCACAAGATTTTTCAGACTTTATACACATTCAGTGGCTTAAACCTTTCCAGAAATGTTTTATGTCTATAAAAGAGAGCATCCCTTAATTATATTGGGGGATAAAATGTGTGATGCTGATAATAAGCATTATGGGAAGTCAGAAAGGGAAGGGAAATTATTCCATTGCTTTTGCATACCCCGAGCTCCTTGTAGCAAGATGTGAAGCAATGAAGGAGAGAGTTTCATGTGGTCCTTTGGCACTTGAAGGAAATTTTACAACGTGACTCTTTACAGAGCCTGTCTGGTCAGGGGCCATCACTCGTCCGGTGTTTTAGCTCCTACCACTTAATGGTCAATATGGAACTTATTCTCTGTCTAGTGATAGAATGTGAGAGGTGGGCATCATCTCAGGGCTCTGGCAGTTTTCTTGAATTTCAGTGGAGAAAAACCAAATACCCAAGAACGTGGCCGGTCTCGCTCAGCACTGTTGATTCAGTAGAACACACTCTGCCAAGACTCCAGTGTGGAGCATTCCCGGAATGGTCGGACCACACTGCAGGGTAGAGGATGCTCATATTGGGGAACAGGGGCAATGTGTTCAGTGGAACCAGGTTGTGGCAGGGACTTCAGTACCACGCTAAGGATCAACCAGGCTTGGTCGTGGAAGCATGGGGAGCCATTGCTGTTAGCAAGGTTTTAGAAGTACGAACCTGGCAGCAGGTTGAAGAGAAGCGGGGTTGGGATAAAAAGGGAGGGGTATGAAAGAGGCTGTGCCTGAACCTGGTAAAGGTTGGGCATAAAGCTCTCTGTGATTGGGTTTCTGTCTTTCTTTTGGCATGATATTTTCCCTGACCACCCTCCCCACTCCTGTTACGTCAAATGTCCTTTTATGTGTTAAATGCCTTCTTTCCACATCCTGCATTTGTCCATTATCGCAGTTTATGGCAATTAGATGAAGTGCTTCACTGTGTAATTCTTGTTTAACACCTCTCTTCTCTGGTAGACTGAGACCTCCCTGTGGTCAGGCACCGTGTGTGCCTGTGAATAAACACTGTTGTCTGCCTAGGGCCTGGGGAGTAGTGGGCACTCAGCAAATGCTCCTTGCACGCAGGCAAGCGTGAATAAAGGAAACGTGTTGAGTTGATAAGGACTGCAGTTTTAAGCCGAAATGATGGGTGGAAAGCCTAGCTCTGCCACTGGTGGGTGGGTTTAGGGAAGGTTGGATGGAAGGTGGCTGGAAAGTGAGAGGCGGTGAAATTTCCCATGGAATTTTCTTGTAAGTGGTTAGAAATTTGAGCATGGAATATAACTTTTGGCTAGGGGGAGAACCTTCAGATCTACTTGTTTGGAGATAACAGTTGAAACCAAGAGCTAAGTTCAGTTTGCTGAAGGAAAGAGTGTGGCAAGAAAAGATCAGAAGGTTGGGGGTTAAACTTGGAAGGGGACTTCAATGAGATAATGAAAGGGGAAAAATGAGTCATGGAAGGAAATGAGGCAGGGACCAGAGAGGTGAGAAACCAGGAAAACTCAGTGCTATAGAAGCCAACGAAACAGGAAATTTGAAGAAGGTAGGGACTGACGAGTGCCAGAAACCACTGACTTATTAGGACTTTTTAAAGGGACTGAGAAAACTCCAGGGGCTTTGGGAGTGGCTTGGGAGGTAAGAAAAACCTTTGGGAGGCCATATTCCTTAATTGGAGTTTGGTATGGGAAGAGTGGGAGAAATGAAGAGTGGTAGCTTTAGGAATAATGATTTTAAGACAGGAAACATCTGTGTATGTTTGAAGGCATGGGAGAAGGTGTCAGGTAGGTGAGAACTACTAGAGAGGCAGGGGAACATGGGGAGGGAAGGAAAACCATAGTGCCCTCCTGGGCACCTCCAAGGTGCTAGGTGTTTTTAGTGTTATCTTACTTAATCTTCATGGTAGCTTGTGAAGTAGACATCAAGTGAGCCATGTTACATACTGGGAGTTTTGGGCCAAGGTAGCTTGTGACCTGTTTTAAATAAGCACAGGAGTCCAGGTCTGTCCTCATCCCAGCTCTTTCCATTGTGCCCCTTATGAATTAGGTGTGAGTGGGATCCAGAGCATGATGTTTGGGGATGCCTTTTTTCTAAAAAAAAAAAAAGGCAGGATGTGTTGAGGGTGTGGTGAGAACTGTGGTAGATAACGTCTGCACAGTTGTGCGGGTTTCTTCGGCTTTCTCCTGTGGCCTGAAACCTGCTATGGAGTGCAGGCAGTGCGGATCACTAACACTGCACAGGGTCATTGTGGTTCTGTGTTGGTGGTGGTTATGAGTGCAATGTGCACACGGAAGTCACCACCTGCCACGGAATACTGGAGAACAGCTCTGTGTAGTTGGAAGCGGGTAAGGGAGAGATACGCAAAAAATGAAAAGGATTCACAATAAAACATCTGTGTATGATCCCACTTATGTAGAGCTATATGTGTGCAGGTATCCATAACATTTGTAGAAATATATGATAGGATGATTATGAAAATGGTGGTTGGTAGTTGTCTCGTTGGGATAACTACAGACGATTTATTGTACTTTGCTTTTTTTTTTTTTTTTTTTTTTTTACTTTGAACTGTTTGTGTTCTTTGAAATTTTAAAAATAAGCATGTGTCGGGGCGCCTGGGTGGCGCAGTCGGTTAAGCGTCCGACTTCAGCCAGGTCACGATCTCGCGGTCCGTGAGTTCGAGCCCTGCGTCAGGCTCTGGGCTGATGGCTCAGAGCCTGGAGCCTGTTTCCGATTCTGTGTCTCCCTCTCTCTCTGCCCCTCCCCCGTTCATGCTCTGTCTCTCTCTGTCCCAAAAATAAATAAACGTTGAAAAAAAAAAAAAAAAAGCATGTGTGATTTATGTAACCCGAAACAAAACAACATAGCTGCTTTTGTTGTATGGAAGATAGCTTGTTGAATGGAGTGTTTTTAGAGGTAACTAAGGGAAGGGATTAGAAATTCTAGCCTTTTGCTGACCAGGTGAAGAGGAGACTTGGTACCTTTCCCACTGATTTGTTAGTACTGCTGAATGCAATGGGAAAGTCAAGGAGAGGTGGGTTCTGACAGTCAGGCTCCTGAAATAGGGTCCATATCTTACCACTCTCCCAGCACACTCTCTGACAGCAAGCTCCAGCAACTCTCCAGGACTGAGGGCTTTTTCTGTCTGTAGCAGAGCTCTGAGTATGCACCTGACACAACCTGGAAGTGCTAGGGAAGTAGCTTGCAAGTAGCCCTCACCGGATGATGGATGAGAGTTAGTGGGTAAATATCCCAGCTTTCTTGCCCACAGGCAGGGCACATCTGAGGTTTTTACATACAGGCTCCAGAGGGCCTGCTGGGCCTGGCCTCACCTGTCTGTATCAGTACACCTTGCACTGGCTTCTGTTCCTGTCTCACTTTCTACTCCTCTACCAGCATCTTGCAATCATCCTTTCTTCTAAATACTTGCCTTAGGGCCTGCTTCTGAGAGACACCAACCTGAGACAGGATTCTAGCACCCTTTATCTGCTTCTTTCCATGACTGTCAACAAAACACTTGTTGCCTGCTTTCTTGCCCACCGAGCATGGAACAAGCTCAGGAGCCTCCCACAAGTGGTATCTGATACGAAGACTTAGTACTTGCAGCAGTGCAAAGAAAGTGCTAGATGTTGACAAAGAACTGCTTTCTCCTATTTCCCCACCCTGCTACAAGTGAGGAACTTGTGACGAAATGACCCATAGCCCTGACTCATAGCCCTGACTCACAACTGTGAAGTAGGCCAATCACCAGGGCCTCAAGTGGCAAATTCCTTCATGAAGTTCTGTCTTTGAGCAACAGTGATCTTACCCATCCCCTTCCTTCATCTGCAAGTCACATCTTTCTGTTTCCTGAGCCAGATTCCAAAGGGCTTAAGCAGCTTTCCTATTTTACTCCTACGACACAGCACGCTGTTTGGTGGCTCATGGCCATGCTGCTGTTGTTAATTGAAATACATATCAAATTGGCCATGTGGACCCAACAGCAAACTGGGATATTGCTGGAGTGAATGCTAACTTTTGTATGCTAGTGCCTATGTCTATGGAAGAAAAGCACACATGGAGGCTGCCTTAAAAAAACAACCTTGTAGGCAGCAGCAGGCATCCCTCCCAGACTTTCTCCTCACACATCCCTGGCCCAGTTTCCTTGGTTCAAGTGCCTGAGGCAATGTGACTTGTCCAAGTGAGCCCAGGGATGGAAACTTGAAGACTGTTGTTTACTAAAAGGTCCTTAGGAAGAGCCCACAGTCATCACTCGGGGGCCATCTTTTTTTATGTTTCCTTTTCCTTCCTTTTTTTTTTTTTTTTTTTTTTTTGATGGAACACATCTATCAAAGTGTTTTTAAATCACTGGAATGTTCATTTCTAGCATAAATCTTAGTTTGTGCTTAGAAATGCATTCATAGGGCTTGAATGGCAATTTGAACTAGTGTAAGCAACACCGTGTAGATGTTGGCCGTGACTCACTGAGAATGTGGCCTTGAGAAATCAAGAAAGAGTTAGAGGATTAGGGTTTAATTTCTAGCTCTGTTTCTTACTAGTTAGATGACTTTGGACAAGTCACTTAGTCTCACCTCTTAAACAGAGTAATAACACCCATCTCATAAGGCTGTTGAAGATTAAAAGAAATAAAAAGCACATTTTAAATCATATACAGGTATAATTACTTCTGTTTGCTTCATTGCTTATTTTGGCTGGGTTTGGATCTGTGTTTCAAGAAAGTATCATTCTAGGAGATTATCAACCTAAGTTCTTTTTCTGTATAATATAAATATATTGTTCTATGTATGTCTTTGTAAGTTTTCTCAAACAAATTTGGCAATACATTGGAATATAGACCATGGATGAATGAATTAAATAAAAGAGCAAATCCATGGAGGTATCAAATCTAGCACTGCTCAAATGCTAACTAAATGTTCTAAGCAAACAAAGTCAGAAGGAAAGGTCTTAGCTTTAGTCCTTGCTTTGGAAATGGTACCATGTTCTGTGAAATAATTGAACAGAAAAATAGAATTCTTTTTCTCTTTTCCCAGTTCTGCCTTAAAATCATTAACTCCTTTCAAATGTATTAGCCAGACTTTTAAAAAGAGGACTAATGAATATAAGAACTTCTGTTATTAACATTCTTCAGAAGTGAGTGGCCCTAACCAAAGTTCAATGGTCTTTTGGTAAACCCTGCTTCCTGTCTAAAAGAAAGCAAATCAAATCATCAGCATAATAGAAGAGTAAATCAGATGCACATTTTCCTGAAGACTAGTTTCCCCTTCTTTTACTTGCTTCTTTTTGCTGTTTGTATTGTCTGCACCTGCCTCACACTAAAGGAATGAATTTTATAGACCTTAGGATGAGAGATATCTTCACTCTTTTGATTGTCTCCTGCTCTGAAGGGCTGCGAGTGGTCTGGGGAGAATGAAACACATTCTGGATTGAGGTTCCCATAAGTGGACCTGGTTACAAAGATTTGGTTTGTACCTAACCCTCTCCATCAGACTAAGGGATGCCTCAGGGTGCAGTTGGAAGCCACACTCTTCCCTTGAGGGTGGAGAAGCATACAGAGCTAGTTCTACCAGCGATCTAATGAAGTGGTTTTTCATAAGGTCACCAATGAGGTTTTCATTTAAAATCTGGGACTTTACTCCAAATGCCCAGATACTTAAATTCATTAGCCATTTTCAAAGAGGCATGTGGTAAACAGGAAGTGCTCTAATGAAATCGGGCATACAGTGTCCACCTCAGGACCCAGGTCACATGAGAATTGAGTAGCTTTCTGTAGACTTTATAGAGAGTGGTGTATTAGGGATGAACTGAATAGGGATAAAAGAAAAAAATCATTCCAAGAAATAGCCCTGAGGGAAAGTGGTAGCAGCAAAAAAAAAAAAACAAAAAACAAAAAACAAAAACAAATCAGTGGGATATTAGGAATTTTAAGGAAAAATATTTAACTAGCCTGCGAGTGTCACACAAGCATGTTTAATTCCAAACATATGAATCCAGTGTGCATTTTCTTTTTTAAAAAAAAATTTTTTTTTAACATTTATTTATTTTTGAGACAGAGTGAGACAGAGCATGAATGGGGGGAGGGCCAGAGAGAGAGGGAGACACAGAATCTGAAGCAGGCTCCAGGCTCTGAGCTGTCGGCACAGAGCCTGATGCGGGGCTCAAACTCACGGACCGTGAGATCGTGACCTGAGCGAAGTCGGACGCTCAACCGACTGAGCCACCCAGGCGCCTCTCCAGTGTGCATTTTCAAGCAATGATGGGAATTGTGGATAGGTTGAATAGGAAAAAAAAAAAACAAAAACCAAAACCCAACAGCTTAAAGTTGAATTTGGCTAATTAAAATAGCACCTATCAATTTCTGAAATGAAAGATAACCACTATCTTGGTTTGAACTTACAGCTCCTGGCAAAGTACAAAGGCTTGCAATGGGATAAAATACTGCGGCTAGAGGAGGTGCAGGCCAAACTAGGGGTCAGTCTGGAAGAAATGCTCGGGATCGTGGAAGATGCCCTTCACCCTGAACCCTATAGCCCTGAGGAGGTCTGCAGGTGTTTGGTAATTAGCCTGCAGGAGCTTCGAACCCAAGTTCTGAGTCCAAACACTCAAGACGGTGAGTCTGCTGAAGAAAGTTAAGAACATGGATTGTTCCCATACTCACAGCTGGAAAGATTACAATTTTCCCATGGATTTGACTGATTTAGAAGCATGCCTGAGGGTACTTGGAGAATGTGTATGTTTTGTCAAACTTAACTATCTAGATGCTTGGCTCCATTAAATCCATTCATTCATTCGTCAACAAATGTCTCCTGATCTGCTATATGCCAGGTATTCCGGTGAGGCAAAGGTGAATAAAACAAGGTTCCTGCCCTTGAGAAGTTCCTATTTCAGTAAGCTTTTTTTTTTTTTCTTCTGTCCATTTTCTTGGTTATTATATTATTTACATAAAAAGGTCTAGGTTAGAACAGTGCTTATAACTGCTGAGACACGCCCTGGGACACCAGAAAGTCTTCCCTGCTTAGGTTGAAATTTGTTGCCCACTTTAGTGTGAAAGTTTTTTCTGTTTGCCTGCTGCTTTCAAGAGATCTTGTTTTCACGCTGATAATATCAGATCCCTGAGATGAAGGCCAGGTAAAGGTTGGAGGTGCACTGGGGTGGCTTCTCTTCCTAGAAGCAAAGGTTATCTATCTGTGGAAAGTCAATACCAGTGGTGCAGGTGGAGCAGGGACATCTAGCTAAGATCCAACCATTTCTGGAGGTAGAGTTGGGTTGGGAGCTTGTAAAGATCAGCCTCAGAGCCCCATTTCAGTTCAGTTCAGTACCTAAGCTGCTTAACATGGATGTTAAATTTCTCCTCAATTTGGCCTGTGTTCTGTCCTGTCTCCCTTTCGAGCCCATACACGTCCACTCGTATAGTGTTGTCTTGGCTGGACCATTCCACTTACTAATTGCATCTTTGTCTTGCCTCTGGACCTTTAATCCTAAACATCACTGCCCTTTTCTAACTAGAGCTTTCCTCTTTTCTGAAATGCGGTTCCTATCTAAAAAGTTCAATATAATTCTTATCTCTTCTGGATCCTTCTCAATCCACAGCTTGTTCTCTTTCTCTGTATCTATGTTCCTTTTTCTCTATATCTGCCTGTCTTTCCAACCTCTCTCTATCTCAGCATTTAAAGAATAAGTTAATTTCCCAGAAAACCTTGGAAAACACAAAAGATAATTTCCTAATCAGAGTATGTGCCTTTCTATTTATGTATATGTATTTAAAAATTTCCCCCCAAAGAATAAGGATTTGATTGTTTTTATAAAAATGATGCATGCTTAATCTTACCCCTTCATCTAAAATAACTTCCCTACTGGCATGCCTGCAATGCTTTCAGTAATTTACTTATGTTTTGTTTGTACTCAGTAAATCTATGTTGAATGAATGAATCCATTTTGTAATTCTATCACCCTCAAAGGATTTCTTTCTCTTTTGCTATTGGAATAAGTAAGTTAAAAAACAAAACAAAACAAAACAAAACAAAAATATGAACATAAATTAGTCTGTGGGGTTCTAGAATCTCCTAGATTAATGTCACTTGAGTTACTTTCTGAATCCAGCCATCTAACTTCAGTCAGATTTCCAGCTGAATTCTCTTGGCACACTTAGCTTTAACTTTAGGGATCAAGATCCTTTTGTATCTTTGCCTTGTTTCTTCTGAGTTTGTGCTTTGGTTGGTCTAAGACCTTAAGCCAATGTTTCTCTTAACCCTTTAGAAGATAGGATTCTTACTAAATGTTGGGCTGCATTAGATCGTATGAGTTGGCGCCGTAGAGAACTCTGGAGGGTGCCTCCGCCTTTTATTCCAGGATATTCACTTTAATAACGTGCTTAGTTTTGACTAGAACTAACTTTTCTCATCATGGAGATCCATGCCTTCCCAAAGGCACGTGGAATCCAATGTTTGCTTTCTGCCAAAATTGCTTCCTTTACCTGGATATGAGTGTGAGTTGGGAGATGTTGACTGTGAGGTTACAGCACAGAGAGAGATGTTTACAATCAAACTGTAGCTTGCAGCCTTTGCTAAACCAGCCAGACTTCCAAAGCCCCACGTACAATTGTTGTTTTCTCTTTCCAAATTTCTAATAATTAGATTTGGAAATGCTCAGAGGCCATTAAAATTAAACACACAAAGGAAAAATCCTCAAATCCTTTAGATGTCGTTTAGAATGGCTACAGTCCATGACTAGGGACTGGCTAGAAATATTTGAAGGATTATTTGTCAGGTCTTGCCCACAGGTAGGAATAGTCTAAGGGTGTGGTATGATGTGTGGGTTTCTAGAGGCTCAGGGGCCAGGCTGATTTCAATGGGAGGTGTTTCCTAAGGTGTGAACCCAGAGGAAGAGATGAAGCTGTGGTCAGAGTCAGGAGAGGTGGGCACATATAGTTAGCCTTGGGGTGGCCTTGCAGCTTCGGTGTACTGTGCTGGGCTGGACATGAATCTCCTTGCTTAGATTAGTAACTGCCTGTGACCATATGCTGACAAAGTGCTGGCCGGTTGCTGACTAATTTGTTTAGATCCTGTGATTTCCAAAGTCACGAGCAGTAATCAGGCTTTTCAGCAAGCACAGGGCACTGGCATGGGCTGCTCTTTAGGAAGACATCTAGAGTAAAACACCTCAAAAAGCTTGTTATTTACTCTATGGTTTACATATTACTCTTTACCCACATCATATAATTTGAATCTCACAACAACTCTGGGTCACCTGGTTCTCCTCATTTCTTAAGTGAAGAACTCAGAGAGTTACATGATTTGTCAAGATTTATAGGAAGTAAGTGCTAAAGCCAGATCCCAAATCCTAGTCTTCTGATTAATCCAATTCTCTTTCTGCTGTTCATTTTTTTACCCCAGCATATTATAAGCTGGCCTTAGCAATCTTGCACCAAGTGAGATAATATTGAATTTGGACTTTGCTTGGCTCTGATTTTTTCTTGAAACTGAAGAGAGGTGATGAAGATAGGTTACTTTGTGGTTAGAGTTCCCTTTTGGCCATTTCCATTCTGGTGCTTTGGCTTTAGAAGTGTAAAATCATGTGGCATTCAGTAGCTTGCTTAATTCAGGGAGCAAACTCAACTTGGCCAGAATGTGCCCGAGCTGCTGTGTTTAGAAGAACTGAGAGAAGTACTGTGGAATTTTCTCATTTGATAAATTGTGATTCTCATAGATTATCTCAGTTAGGTCTAAGAAAAGTAGTTTGTTTTTATGTGATGGAAAAATATAAAGGTACTTATAAAATAGAGTCAGTTGGTCAGTAATTTCAATTTCCAATTAAGTGTTGGAAAGATATCAGATATCAAAGAAATCAATTTAAAAATACCTTGTAAGATGTCAGGCACTAAATTCTATGATCTCAACACAATGTAATCGTTCTTATAAGAATTTTGGAAGAAAAGTTTTCTATAAAGAGCCTAGAAGAAACTCCAAAGGAAAATATAGACCTTCCTAGTGTTTACAGATACTGGTTGGGCAGAAATCCTTAAAATCTAGGTGATGGAATTCTAATGCCAAATATGATGAATCCTTCAGTTTTGTCTGTTGTTTTCATTTTTGCAAGATAATAGATTCTTATGAAACAAAGTATAAAAGGATAAATCAAGTAACTATTTTTGTTATACACAAAACATATGCTTCAAGTTGCTTAAGTTGTTTTGGAAGGTCAAGTGCGGGAATAATTAGCTTTCACTTCATCCTTTTTCCTCTCCTTCTCTCTGTAGTGTCTCTGTTTTTTTCCTCACTCCTGTTGACTTCTCAGCTATCTGGCCACAAAGGGCAGGATCATGCCAGGAGTAAAGGCTTTTTATTTTCTAGGAAAAAATGGTTGTATCTTTTATCTTAGATCACTTGAAGATAATGCTTCCTTGCTGGGTTTTCCTCTTCCTCTTTCAGCTGTGCACATTATATACCCCTTTTCATTGGTTTACCTTCCCTTTTCAAATGTTTAAGGAGCTAAACATGAATGTGGTCATACCTTACTAAGTACGAATTTAAAGACATGGCATCTTAAAACTCTCAACTTCTGTAGGAACAACCCAGTATCAGCATACTGGAATCTTGCCAGTGATCTGTGCTGTACCCTGGTCAGTGCCCCTGCCACTGATGGGTAGGCTAGAGCTCAGAATCTTCCCCTTATCCTACAAGGCTTAAAATAGCAGCCTCGTTTCTGGCTCCTGAGGCCATTCCGCAGCCACAAAAGCAAGAGAATTCTGGAATGTTCTTCCCCATGTGTGAGTGTTTTAACAGAGCTAAAATGAAATTCTGAAAGGATATTTTGAGGTGGAGTTGACCCCTGCAGTAGTCTGAAATACATTTGGCCATCTTGAACTGAGACAGGCCCAGAATGAACCAGTGACCTTGACCACCTCTTCATACTCTGTACCTTCAAACCCTTGAGTTCCCCAACTTTCTCGAATTCATGTGATTTGGCATGGCTGGCAGGAGAGGATGTAGTGTGGGAAAGAGTTAGACCAGTGAGACTAAACATTTGCCTCTCTCCGACACTGATCCTCTTTGTCAAAGACAAGTGTTTTCCTCTCTCTGGGAAGGTCATCCTTGTATATTGAGCCTTCAGCTTCAGGAAGATCGGACACGGTGCAGGGAAGGAGGAAGGGGATGTCAGCCTTCCTGACAAAGCAGCCCCATAGACTCCGGTGACCTACACCCATGAAAGCAAGCAGGAAACAACTTTTCCAGCCTCATATGAAACTTGCATACAGTAGTTACTATAATGGCATTTCCCAGAAATAAACCCTAAAAGAGTCATGACAACTAAATGTGAGCCACAAGGCACCATCTTCTCCCAGGATTCGTATCCTTGCAAAAGCGTCCCTGTTTTGTGCACCTCTGTATTCCCGCGGTGCCTAGAAAATATTTGCTGAATGAATAAATGAGTTGAATTAATTTTCTTCTATCCATATGGAGTACTAATGGGGAGGAGGCCAATTTAAGAAGGCACTCAGTCTAACAAAAGGGTGGTTATGCCTAGCCTTGAAAAAAATCTGTTCATTCTACATTAATAATAATATATTAACAACATCTAACATTGAGTACTTACTATGTTATAAACACACTA